TTCCAACCCGAACCATTCTATGATTCTATCTGAAAAACTGAAGTTGAGCAATTGAGTTCAAAGCTTGTCCATGCTGCAGATGCAGTCACCTCTGTATGGGAACTAACTCCAAAAATCAGAGCCTTGCTTCAGGACCCGACTCAGGTTTGAGAACAGAAGAGAATCTGTCTGGTAGAAAGATAAGTATCCACCTCAAGAGGCAAGCAACATGCCTTTGTGGTTTTGAAATCTGCTATGCAGACTTCATACTAGTACAAATGGGCTCTTCACCTCACATGTGTGTACATGATGTATATATATGGCTTCCAACACTTGTTTAGTTCAGGCCACTAAGTTAGGCTTGGGAAATGCATGTTTGCACCCATGTAGCTGTAGGCTCAAGACTCAGCTGGAGCAGTTAGACTTGCTGAGCAAGTTCACAGCCTGGTGAGCACCAGTGCAGTGGGCATCAGGAATTGTAATGCCTATTTATCCAGATTGGTGAAAACATCTACAGAGCAAAGACACACCTTTTGCATCAGGTCAGACTTCCTGTCCACTTCTGATACTCCTCCTCTGTTTCAGAATGATGAAGATCATCAATCGACTACACAAGTCTATGATGCTTCTCCAGTATTTTTCGACCCAGTCCTGGGACTGGTCTTCAGATAATATGAATATGTTAATGAGTCACCTTAACACAGAGGACAAAAAGGTAAGTATGTCAAGAATATGTATTGCTAAAGTCCAGTTCTGTTCATCTGCAGTAATTATTTTTGGTGTACTGTTGAGCTTATGAATGACGTCTGCCTAGATGACCGGAATTGACTTTAACTTGAAATAATTTCTTTCCCCCCTTTTTTGTTAAATGACTTACCAGGAACCTTCCATTTATTATAGGAGAATGTTTTCTCCTGAGGTGTATTGCTCTTTCTTCTGAGACAGGTCAATCACTACAGTGTTTCCAAACAACATGGCAGCTCTCTACCTTTTGCTTTCAGCTTTCTGTTTGGCCTGTAAACAATCTAGATTTGTTTCCACAGACAAACTAGACTGTATGAAGGGAACATTACATTATATCCTCGGTGACCCAGCTGTACTTAGCCGTTTTTGTTGGAGAAGTTAAAGGCATCATATGTAACAGTGGCCACTTTACTACCTCCCATGTGGTTGGCTACATAGACTGGACTACCATAGCAAAGCTAAGGACATTCCTTTTTTGATAGACACAATATTTCCTGTTTCTAAGAAGAAAAAGGTCAATTTTAGTTTTCATGTCACAGCTCTGGGTCCTGAGAATTTCAGGCACCCCCTTACATGGGATGATATGACTATGTTAATTAGTGTGCTGTACAGGGGCCCCAGAAAGACAGCATCAACAGCAACGCAAATACATGTGTGATGGGGAGTTTCATTGTAATTAGTTAATCACTGAAAAACTGTAGCTCTGCAATTAGACTTTTTGATGCCAAACAACAGAGTAACCTATTTCTTGGACTTATCAATCTGGATGCTGAGAGAGAATGCAGGAAAACACAGAGTAACACTGATGCAGAGGCACCTGCTGACTCAATGTCCAATTCATTTATTTACATATAATTCTACTGACACATTAAAAACTGCATAGAGGTTTTTAGATTAATCCATTTATCTGGGTGGCATGCCATTTTTCTTCCACAATTGTGTGTGTGTGTGTGTACAAATACATGTATTTATGCTCAAATGGCCACCTGAAACACAAACTTATCTTTGTTTTCTGCCAGCTAGCACTAAATTTCTGCTTGCTTTGCCTGAATTCCCAGCTGGGTAAGACATTAATCGACAGCTGTGAAATATGTTCTGTTAGTGTCCATGTCATCTTGGAAACTTGGTGGCATTAAGAACTTCAGAGAGAGGGCCTTGTCAGAAACAAGGTTAATGAAGAATTGATGCTTAAATTGAATTTGTTTCGAACTCTGGTGTTTAAATTCTGCTCTTTGTCTTTAAATTCCAGTTATACAACTTTGACGTTCGTCAGCTGCACTGGTCAGAATACATTGAAAGCTATTGCCTAGGTGCTAAGAAGTACTTGTTAAATGAGGACATGGCTGGCATTCCAGCAGCAAAGCAGCACTTACGAAAGTAAGTCATACCCAGTGACAAGGACAAAAGCTTCTGGCTACCATGAATGGTTTTTGAGAAAAATTATTCTAGTTACATTGCAATAATTGTTGGTGAATAATATGAAAATAAACATAGTACAGCTTATTTCTTAGGACAGAGGGTTGTCAGTATTCCATTTTTCCATCCTGTAAGAAAAAGAGGACTTCTGATGACACTAATGATCAGGGGCTAGCTATTATGCCTTCCCAGCAGATGACTGAGGAATGAAGTTACAGTGCATAAGAGGAATACATAACTGCAGAAGCTCCTAGTCATTCAGAATTACAACAGAAAAATAAGGGTCAGATTTAGATGTTGTGAAGCTCCTAGAAGTTTTTAGCAATTCAAAGACATTGCAGAAAAACTTTAAGCATTTGTATTATTTTAAATTTCATTTTAAAGTTAAAGTTTCTAATTCCTTGCGGGGAATGGGCAAAAATTCTCCAAAATCAGTGGAGAGCTTATGCATTCAGTCCTTGGTGACGGTTTAAGAGAGTCTGAATAAGTAGTTTGAGATTGTCCTTCTCTGATTCAGTTAAAGATTGTGCTCTTCCTGTCTTCTCCAGCCCTTTTACTGAGAAGTGCAGGCAAAAGGAGAAAGAACAGCTCTCTTGGAGTAAAAGCCTGGTTGCTTCCCTTAAGAAAACCATTCTTGTGCACTGTAAATGCTAGAAGTATAAACAAGCCTGTTGCCATAGCAAGGAATCCTATACAAGTTTTTCGTTCATGGCTCACTTTTAAAGGATTTATAAGAACCTCCGTAACAGGCCAGTAGCTGCCTCACAGCCCAAATAGGCAGTGTGGTATGGTATAGTGATAAAGTTGGGTTTTTTTTAAAAAAAAAGGACTCTTAGAAAAATTAAACCAGTCTCGGGCATTTTAAGTATGAAACTTTAGTCCCATGGTCAGACACTAGGAAAGTGAGAATTAGAGAACTGCGTAGGTTTTTGCTTGACAGAAAGAGGACAAGATGATTAGCACCTTAAAGACCTAATAATCCCATTTAAATATACAGTGGGAAAAAACCCAAAACCTCAGTGCTGCAGTACTGCAAAAGTTAAGGCTATTATTGATAACTGAGTAATTTTCCAACATTAAAGGCAAGGTTTCAACCAAAAAGGAGAACCTTATTTACTGCTCCTGTGAAGATCCTCCAGCCTGTCACCAGTCCAACTAAGTAAAAAATAGTCAATGTACCAAATCAAAGCAGAAGGTACTTGTAATAGTCTACCATTAGGAAAACAGCTCTCAGTATGACTTCAGTGTCTGTACTAGTCTGAAATGAGAGTACATGGAACAAGAGACACTTGCAATACAGATATTCCACTTATGCCATTAACTATTCACTATATCATAACTTCAACACAGTCCTTGGCAAGATGGTAGGGACACCTTAGCCACTGTGTCTTCAAAATAGGAATGGCAAAAAGCCCAAGGGCCACTTGTAACCAGGATTTCTTACAAAATTACCTGTAACAAATGAAGTAAGCTGCTAAGCTTTTTGTTGTTTTTGTCTTCCTCATAAGATGCCTCTTTCTCTTCGTCAGGCTGAGGAACATCCGATACGCGTTCAACACCACCCTACTTGTGATCATCTGGCGCATTTTCATTGCAAGGTCACAGATGGCTCGAAACATCTGGTACTTTGTGGTCAGCCTCTGCTACAAGTTTCTTTCCTACTTCAGGGCATCCAGCACCCTCAGGCACTGAAGCCATCCATCAGCAACCAGCCTCTTCCAGAAGGACCTCCATCTCCTCTAATCAGCAACTGTGGGCATCAGGGTCTGAAAGTAGCAGAAAAATCCACTCCCTCCAACAGCAGCCTGCATTTATTGTGCACTGTTATATGTTCACCTTTTTAATTTTAACTAATGCTTTAATACATGGTGGTCTTTCTTCCATAGGACCAGGCCAATTTTTAAAGCCATAACTGAAGCTTTAGGAACAGGTCAAGCTGGAACTGTTCATTTAGGGTCTGATGTGTAGGAGTAAGGTTTAACCAAAGTCATTGTCTTCCCATGTACTACCTAGGCCATCTTAATCCCATCTTCTTCCTCAAAAGAGGCAAATCTAAAGCATACAACCTTGGAAGAAAAGGATGCCATCAGACAAGAACCAGCCAAGGAAATTAATCTGTAAGAGGTCTTCCTAAAGAGGCTACTTCTTCATTCTCATTCAGTGAAATGGCACATTATTGAAAAACATTATGTCATATTTCCAATTTTACAAAACTTAGAAAAAAATATCAGTTACACTAGGGGAGTGAACACACTCAACAGTTTTCAGATCTTGTCTTGCTACTAAGGACTGATACTTTCAAGCCATAACTGAAGACACACATAGAATTCATGTACCTGTGTTAACTCCACTCACTCCCAAGCTGCTTTCTTATGGAGAGGTATTTTTTCTCTCTGTGGTTAAGGTTGCAGTCTGTTAAAATACCCTGTTCTTGAATTTATCACATTTGCTTTGAACACTTTTTTGGCTTGAAAAATGCCGTATTTACTCTTAAGAATGAGGAGAAGACTTCTTAAAAGTTTGAAGAAGAATTCAGAAACTCATTATTTTTGAGGAATATATCTTTTTCCCCGTTTGATTTGTCCTCAGAAAACTTCTCTCCCTGTAGCTCAAAAACAGCCTGATACTGTACTTCATGCTTTCATTACAGCTAAGTCACTTCAGTTGATTACTTCCACTGGCAAAGAAAATGTAAAAACATGTATGGAGGAAATCCCATCAGGCCAGTTCTGCTGCCACTCCTCTCAGTCGGAATTAAAAAGTCTGAAACTTGTTTTTGTTGAGAATAGGAAAGGTGTTGTTGACTTCTGTGTTAAAACAATCATGTACTGTGAAGGTAATGCATTTTTTTCTACACTGCAGTTTAGAAAGGAATCCAAGGATGCTCATGGCTATTGGAGATACTTATTTCACCTAGAGAAGTATGAATTCCTGTGGGGGGAGAGAGAAAAAGAGAGCTTTCTTCAAAGTAGGTAGTGCAACAATGGCCTTAGTAAAACAGCAAAAAAAATTATCATGCTATCAGATTTTCAAAGTCAAATCCAATACTGGAATATTTTTTTAAGATCACACTGAATAAGCACTTTATTAGATTTTCAAGCAGCTAGTTTTTTAAATGATGCAGCATCCAATTCCTCTAGTTGTGTCATGCTAGCTGTCTGAAAAAGTAATGCTACATCACAAAAAAATGACACAGTTGCTCTTTTGAGAGCTGACAATAACAGAGTATTTACAGAGATGGCGTTCTTCATAAATTATACTTGGTTTTGGCAGTGAAGGCAAGAGCAAGTTAAGATGACAGTGTATTTATATCTTAGGCCTCCATGCTAGTTCAAAAATCTTTCTAAAGGTGCAACAAATCAACCTTCCCCCATATGCCCTAGAGGTCTAGTTTCAAGCAATTGCCAAAGGATGCCTGCAGCAGAACCTGATGAAGGTTCTCATCCAAAGACACCATGGTTTCCAAGACAGCAGGCCTCTGGCATTCTCTAGCAAAGGCCCCTGTGTCTGTCACACAGTTCAGCTCTGTCCTCAATTAGGTCAAGCACACAGTTTACAAAGATGCAAATTTTTTAAGCTCTTGCCTTGAAAACATACTTTCAAAATACAATAATACTGGTTGTTAGCTATGTGTTTTCCAACTCTAGAAAGCTGGCAGTGCATGCTGTGCATTGCACATTAGCAAGGTGTCACTGCCTGGGAAACTAGGAGCTGTAGGTTTGGGTGCTGAGGACCAGATGTTTCATGTGCAGTGGTTCTGTAGCAGTGTATATGGTGAAGTTTAGCTGCATTACACTTTGCTCATTTGGCTATGCAGAGACTGTGGCTACCTTGTGGAGTGAGGCACGTTGCTGTAGGCATTCCTCTAGAAAGACTGCATTCCCTCAAGTAAAATATCAAGTTATCAGCCAGCTTCCAGTCTTCTGAAAGAAGCCATATGAAAGGCTAAAAAAACCAAACAAAACAAAACTGCAGATTATTTTGAAATGAGCTTCAATTTTAAAAGTAGGAAAGAATTTGAACTCCTATCCTAAAAGTCTTTTTAAGTGCCTGCCTTATGTACAAAGAGAAACAACAGCTAAGGGGATCATAACTCTTATGCTGTGCACATGATAGACAAAAACTTGAGTCTCCCAGAAAAGTCAAACACTGCAGACTTGCTACACCTACAACAGCTGAGTGATGTAAACTAGACTTACTATTAGTGTCCTGCCTTGCCTTCCCTTCCGCAATGCTAGTCGTGCCATGCATTCCTCACATACGCCTGGAGGCATTCACAGTTATTTGCACAGTTATTTGTCCCAGCAAGTCTGAGATGTATCTTTGCTCACCTGAGCATATCCTGACCTGTTTTCTGATCATGCAAAAAGGTGCTTCAGGTTTCACTCAGAACAATGGTGGTATGACATTTTAAAGTTTTTCATCATTTTGCTGAAGATAACAGACACAGCAAAGCTACTACTCATCCCTGAAAAACAGCAGGAGCTGCTTGGGATGTTGCAGAAACATGGATGTTGCAGATGGCGTATGCTCTTCTGGACACCTCTCATAGCATTGCCAGCAGCTGGCTCCAGAGCTCTCGCCTTGCCTGTGGGGGGGATCAAGCTGTTAGCTTTTCTTAACACAGACATAACATGCAATGAAACTTGAATCTTTAATTCATTTTCTTGCGGCTTGAGATGTTTTCAGGTGGTTGTCTGAACCACAGAAATATTTCAGAAAAACCTCAGTGCTGATGCATGCCAATGGCCTTTGGGTGCCAGTCATGACTGTCATCATGGAGAGCTCATGTTCTCACCTCCAGCAGTGACTTATCTTTGATGTTTTACTGTGTGCTCCTCAGTGTATTTGTGTGTGCGCTGAAGAAATCCAAGCCTTGGGGAAAATAAAAGAAAATGCCAAGTGACAGCCACTTCTTTTCTTCCCTATTCTATCTCTTGCTCTTTTGTGTATACTCACAAGCTTTTGACAAAAGAAAAGCCAAAACCAGTTGTTATTAATTTAAATCAGAGGTCCTGTGGCAACCATGCACAAATTAATGCGAACGACTCAGGAGTGGCTATTCCTCATGGCTGAAGGCTACAGTTTTAATACCTGTTAAGGTTGAAGCAGGACTCGGGGAGTATTTTTTGTCCTACAGAGGTAACATGGTCAGTACTATGAGGAGGAGAGATGAGTAGGAGGAGCATTCCTGATCATAGATAGCAGAAGCATTCCTAGGCACAGAGCATCCAGCTCAATGAGGAAAGGGAGACTCAAGGGATCAGAGAAGTATGAGCTGCCAAGCACAGGGGACTCTGCCTCCCAAGCAGCGGGGGGAAGAGCTCCATCAACATTTTGTTATCAGCTTGTGTTCTTGTAATAAATCTATGAAAGTGCTCCCCCGTCCTTTCCCCAGCTACCAACAGGCATCATAGAGAACAGTATTGAGAGCCTTTCTGCACAGCCATGAAATAAAATAGCTGCCACAAGACAGTATAATGGAATTATCCTCTGTAACTGCTTGTCCCCCATGAACTTGCAGTTTATCTACCCCCTCATGGTGTCCAGGAATAACATGGACCACTGCTGAGCCTGATGTACTAATGTTTTGTTAATACTATGCATATACACTAGTCTGTTGGCTATAGCTATGAACTGCTGTGTGAAAGCAATGAAACACTGAATATAATTTCACTGTCAAAGAGCAATTGGCATAAGCTTGCAATTAAGAAGCACCATTTTTTAATTAAATTACCATAACAAAAAGAAGCCAAATCCCTAATTCTAATCTGAGTGTAAACTGCCTTTTGACTGACAACCAAAGCTGTTTATCTCCAGTATGTCTGTTACCAAAAAAATACAATTTCTCACCCCTTCACCCTCTATCCCAATAACTTTGTTAAGAAAATAAAATTCTTTCAGGGGAGGGAGGAGGTAACACACATACTGGTATATTACAGGTTGCTGGCCCAGTACCCACCTTCTCAATAAATTTGTTATTTTACCTTTTCTAAGAAAACATGATTATGTATGCCTCTGTGTATAGTTACATCTTTCACCACCAGTCCTCATGCAACATACAGAGATGGTAAAAGTAGTGGAGCTCATATTGAAATGCCAGGCTGTGCTTGTTTGGTATGCCCTGTTCCAATTCAGTTTAAGATGAAGCGATGAAAACCTACCCTAGTTTCCAGTGTAAAGGAAACCTAACCTGTAGAACTATTAATCAAATCCTCATCATGAATAAGCAACTGGGAAAAGAGGGAGGGGGGCATTCTTTTGTTTGTAAATAAGCTACAGCTTCATGGTCGAAAGCATGCTGTTGCTCTTCCAGCGTTGACGTTCTACTGCAGAAAGCAAGGATGAACTTTTATTAAAATTGGACCCTTTATTCTAGCTCAGAGTAAATAATATACTGTACATTCCCCAGAAGCTAAATGGTGAATATCCCATTACATGGTGCTAAATATCAGTATGAAGGTGGTACAGATTTACTTAAGAGAATTTAAAAAAAAAAAAATCATATTTGGGGAATAATTAAAGGTCTACTATTCCACTTTTCTCTATTGCTTAAATGTCAACTATGAATTGAGTTGGTTTGTTCAGATTAACATGAAACTGCTGTTATAAGGTTTCTTGTTCTTAAATAATCTTGGCAGACCCCAGTTTATAGTAAAATATGTACTTTCCCACTGTCCAAAGTTTATATGGTTCTAACTGCTATTTCTATTCTCTTGTTAGCTATGAGACAACTTACTGTTATAAATCTTAATTACAAAGTTTCTAAAGTTAAGGTGTAATCTTTTGAGCTGTCAA